AGGATCCTAACACACGATTCAAAGAAATCAGGGCGCAAGACTCCTGAAGCATTTTGAGTAAATTTAAAAGTTTAAAATGTACTGAAAAAACGATTGCCTCACTATGACACGTTATCTTGTGGTTTTTTCAAACTGACTTTTAGATCTGGATGGGTCTCAGTCATCATCCTACGTGAATAACACATAGTCGGTCCCACATCTAGCAAAACGGTGAGTAGTTTTTAAACAAAGTTACGCTCTTTTATATAATAGATCTTCACTAGTGCTATAGATAAATCATCGAATTATACGGATACCACTCGAAATCGCAATGCTTACTTTCTATCTACTGCCTTGTATAATTTTAATGACAAAGTATTATGGGAAATATACCACAACGATGATGAGATATTTGCAAAAATTGGATCCCAAGAGAGTGGGGCAAATTACAGTAGGCTGTAAATAAAAAGTAAACATTGTAATATCATACCTTTTTATTTTCTGCCTACTATAATTTCGCGGCGGGGTACTAAGCGGGTGCTCGCTGACGGGTGATTGCTGTGGCAAAGATCGATAGAAATAGCTGAGAGACAGGCGAAACGAAGGACCCGCATGGTGTGGTGGTGAACGCGTTACTCTCCGGAAAGGACAATAGCGCATTCTTTCTCCACCATAGACACCTGCAGTCCAGAGTTTTGCAAATATCTCAGCAACGTTGTGGTTAAACATTGTAATTCCAAGTGGAGCCTCAGCTTAACTGAGTTCAATCCAGATATGGACTCTCCAGGTCAATCCCGTTGACGGGTGATTGCCGATGGCACTGGTAGATAAAAGACTAGTTGAGACAAGGGCAGAGCAAGGGCCTCCGTGGCGCAGTGTGCAATGGGCGAGCCCCCAGAAAAAGAAATCAAGGTTCGATCTAGCCCGGAGACCAAGTTTTGCAAATATCATCGCGACAATAGAAACAACTGACACCAACCTATCATTAGCTGAACAAATGCAGTTCGTGTTTAGCATATATATTAACCGTTATCCAAGGATATTCCTCATATTAGGGATGCCGATAGCCGGCTAGTCGCGAGGCTGCGTGACGTGCTGCCAGGTGGCGGAGAGGGGGTTAATAGCAGACCAAAAGCGACTGTATGTTTTCCTGAGACGCAAATGGACCCACGAAATGGATTTCCTGTTTCTGCTGCACCGATTTTACATACTTTTGCACATACTTTCTGTATTTTCGAGACATTTTCGACCACGCATGTGTGGGTGCGTTCTAGTTTATGCAGATTGCGTTCTACGAGTCAATTCGGCCCAAAGCCTGCAAGCAAGTGACGGGGAAGTATACGGGAGGCGGTTAGGAGTCGCTTCCAATAAATAAGCTCCATGTCCGCTCTGGGAGAGCCTGCAATCTACTCGTGAGTATACCCACCTCCCACGTTCACAGCAACAACCTATATGTGGGTAACGAAAACCTGAAAACAGTTAAAGAAACGGGACTCATTCCGCTGACCCTGAAAGAGTGCTCAATTCGGCACCGTTGGGTAGGACGAGTACGGGGAGGCCGTTAAATCTCAGGACCAATGGAAGCTGCTTGGATTGCAGAGAACTAAGGTAACGATCTGTACATATAATGCACGTACACTTGCATCCGAGTCCTCGATAAAATACTTGCTCATGCAAGCAAGAAGGATAAGACACAGCGTCATCGGCCTGGCCGAGATGAGACGACGCCACCCATTCAACGACCTCTATGACATCGAAAAAGAACTGTTCCTCGGAACATGCCGCAGTAGAGGAGTCAGCTGCGTCGGTGTTCTCGTCAACACGAGTTTGTCCATGAACATCGATTCATTCGAACAGCCTACAACCCGAATCGGACGTTTACAGTGAAAAAGACGTGGGTCAATTCCGGCTTTGACAATCTTCGTCGTTTAAGTGCCGACATCAAACTACGACGAAGAAGTCGAAGCGTTCTATGTGGACTTGGAGAAATTCTACAGAGGACACGATAAATTCTTCAGGGTCATCATTGGAGATTTCAACGCCAAGATTGGACCAAGGAGAACGTCTGAAAAACCTCACCTTGCGATCCACGGATTAGAATCGAACGAAGAGAGTAATCAGCTATCTGAGCTTATCATGGCTACCAAGACTATTTATGGTAATTCGCAATTCCATAAAGGCTACCCTCAACGCTGGACGTGGGAGTCTCCCAATGGAAAGTACCATAAAGAAAACACATCATAGTAAGTAACAAGGTTTTGCCTAACCGATGTCGCTGTTGTTCCAAAATTCTTCATGAGATCAGACTGTCGTCTCCTTCGTGCAAGATTCTATTTTTTGCGAAAAGGAGGAAAAGCCGCCAAATTCAAAAACCGAGGTCCTAAAACTACCGTAAACTGGGACTTATTCAATTCATTACTCGGCAGTTAGAAAGATGCCGTTGTCGATAACATCGACGAAGAATACGATCGGCACATTCAACATCTTCACGCCAGCGCTATGGAAGCTGAGAGCTCGAAAGTCACCAAGAGGCGTCTGTCTCCAGATACCTTCGAGCTGATACACCAGCGTGGAATCGCACGAGCTGCAGAGAAAAGAAAACCAACATCCGAACTTGCAAAAGAACGCAGACAGGCGATAAAAAATCGAACAGCACAAGGTTCAGGTAGGTTAAGATCTTAACAACAGAAAAACGTTCCGCCAGTCCTCGCAAATACAATGGCTCCTCACGCGTTACCTGTCGGACTGCGAGGCTTCTAGTTAGTGGAAGACAGAAAAGATCGTACAATGTTCGAGAAGAGTGACCTCCACGATAACGGCAACTTTCGCTCAATCTGCTTGCTGTCTTTCGTCTGCAAACTTTTTACTCCAGTCATCCTAAATAGGATTGGCAGAACACTGGGAAAAGGACAGCCTTGTGAGCAAGCAATGTTTCGAAAACGACTTAGTACGATGGACCATATCCACACGATAACAAGACTCATTGAAGTATTGCGAGAGTACAAAAGACCGCTGTGCCTCACTTTCATCGATTTATAAAAGGCCTTTGATTCAGTTGAGATAGAAGCATTCATGGAAGCTCTTGATAGTCAAGGAGACATTACTCAGTACATAAAGATTCTTCCTGAGCTGCACAAAAATTTCACAACCAAGATATCTCCATTCTACAGCGGTATTATCATTGATTTCAGAAGAGGGGCTAGGCAGGGCGATACCATCTCGCCAAAATTGTTTACCGCTACCTTCCAGAATTTCATGCAAATATTGGAATGGGATTGGGATGGAAATCGATGATCGGCAGTTTCACCACCTTCTCTTTGCTGATGACACCATCCTTATAACACCAAACATTAGCCAAGCGGAACGGATGATTGCCGACTTTGATAGAGCCTTTAGATAGATTTGTCTTCATCTAGATTTCACAAAAACGATATTTATGAGAAACGGATTGGTTTCGTATGCCCCATTCACGCTTAATGGAATGAACTTCTCCGAATGTTCCGTTTATGTCTATCTAGATCTGGTAGTCAACATGATGATCGACTTAGATCCAATGCTGGGCAGAAGGAAACGAGCGTCCTGTAAAGTTTTCAAGAGCATCGAGTATGTAGTGTAGAGAACAAGGAACACCCGACTCTGTGCTCATCTTTTCGACTCAACGGTACTTCCTGCCCAAACGTATGCGTAAGAAACCTGGTCGCTGCGTAAGAAGGATGAAAGATCACTCAGCATTATCGAGCGCGCAATCGAAAGGAGGATGCTAGGAGTATCCCGTTCCACACAAGTAAGGGATGGGATCCGAAGCTCCGATCTGCGTCAACGGTCAACTGTCAAAGATGCCGTTCTGTACGCCAAGCAATTGAAGATAAGACGAAAGATCTGCTTTCGATAAACTGCGGCATAGATAGTAGATATACTTATTTCACGCGTGACCCAGCGCCCTATTTCAAAACGATATTTTGACCCCAAGGTTTGTCTTGCTCGCGACCCCACGTGAACTAAGTGTGGGCCAGTCTCACACGTAACATCACGGTGAGTGGCCTTTCTGTTCAATACGGCGTCTATTTGAAAGTTTGATCTTCATTAATACTTTAACTTTTTTCGCGGAGTAATAAAAATATCCTAATACAAAGTACGTCCAGGCTCTGAGGAAGGCGAAGTCGTCGAAAAGAGACAACGACAACGACAGCAAAGCCGTGTAACAACCTCGCGTCAGCTTAAGAAGATTAGTTCATAAGGTCATATAAATAAATAAATCGAAGATAGGGTTGGCTGGACCCGTAATGCATGCGAACGACAGCCGATAGGAAAGAGCCGTTAGTGACTAGATTCCTCGAGATTCCATAGGAACTGCAGGAAGGTCACCGACCTGATGGTTAGAGTTCTTCACGAAGAGCGTAGAAGAAAAATATGATGCTCGATGATTCCCTAGAGTGAGCAGAACCCACTGGGCTACTCTTGCACGCGACAGGGGAAAATGGAAGTTTTGCTGGCGCCCGCTCTCGTCACTCGACGGTCTACGGTACTACAGGTGATGTAGGTGATACAGGTGACTAATTATTATTCCCATGGCTAAAAGAAAGTTAATCTTGGGATTTGTTCTGATATCAATATGGTAAATAAGCTTAGCATTTTTCCAATACGCCTTTGGTGACTCTTACCCATAGTGGAACTCAGATGGCTAATAGTGAGTTCATTGCAGCGTTAAGATGTGATAAAACACGCCTTATATCGGAAGTCGAAAACCTTCTTTGTAACAGTACAGTAGATATTGAGGACGGGAATGCATTCAACATAATGTGTTACTGTTAACACCATGTTCCGTATATAGAGATGAAATTCTCCCGGAAATTCACAAATGACAACAAATACCTCACAAACTTTGGTGGCCAACGACACATTCAAGGACCGAAAGAAGATAGATGTTGTCAAGTATTGTTGAACGCAAAATTATTCATCGTTTTATTGACACAATATAATGCTTCTCTGCTACAGCAGTGGAGCTGTCATTTTCGCATCGTTCACGCAGTGAGCACACAAATTCCGTATTCACAAACTCCAGTTTTAGGACTTGCGCACTGGCCGCCATTTTCACAAGGAGTTCCGGAGGTATACACTAAAACTCCATTGGGTATTGCACTAAATAGAGGTGTTCAATATTTGTATGGAATTTTTAAAAGAGCTTTATAAAATGATACTTACCACTGCGAGAATACACACGCCGAAGATGCACGTTCGACACAAGTGGAGCTGTAGCAACCGGCAGCAGTCGCATTTGCACTAACCATCTAAAAATACACTATGTTAGTGTTTAGGATGAAATAGTGCTGTTTTCGTTTCTCTGCTTGTCGGCTTTCTCTGAAGGGACTCACATTAGCAAAACTATGCAGTACTTCGTTTCCATTGAAGACATTGTCGGCTGGCCAGCCGGCATTTGCAATCTCTGTCCACTTCCACATTGACGCAGTAATCGGACTTTTAAGCACCTCTTCGGCCGTGTGTGGTCCGTAGCTAAATTTCAGGCATGGAGACGCAAACTCGGCAAAGGCGAGTAGTTAGTTTTCACCAATATTTCATGTAAGCAATTTTTTCCTTGCAAAACTCACTAGTTGAAATTCAATGCGTGTTCTGCGCTCGATAATGGTACGTCTTCAGGGCAGTTCTGCACCAGTCTCGCAGCAATTGCCTCTAGATTGCAGTCCCATCTCTACAAGGGTTCGACCATTCTAATGTAATTTTATTCCCTCATGTCCAATTCGAGTTTTTATCTCATATGACATCTTCAGGAACGAAATTACCAATTTGTTCATGTCACTTGCAGATGATATCCCATACTCATTGTACTCTCCTTGAGATAGACGTTGGCGTATGAAGTTGAAAAAGCTGAGAACATCATTTCTAGTTTGGTCTGTTATAGCCGTTCCTTTGCAACCAAATGCTTAAACAATAAATAAACAAACTGATAATTTTTATGCAACAAGATGCACAGAAAGTGGAGAAATTACTACCACTTACGTATAGTAAATCCACCACTGCATACACCAGATTGAAAGAGCTGAAAGCTTTAATGTATGTTCAATGAAACTCTTAGCTGCTCAAGCCGCCTTTAACGATTCTCTTACTTCCTAAAACCACAAGAGCTACCATAAAGCGGTCTCAAATCACCAGTAAGTCCGATGGGTATTCAGGTAAGTGATGATTATCACTTAGAGGCGGTCAAACCTTTAATCTTTACAAGAATAGTAAGATGACGTACAGATGTCTGCGAAGGCCTCCTTCTGATCTCGAACCACCTGCAGCCGCCCGTGGTGAGCAATAGGGAGCACTTACCGCTCTAGCACATACAACACAGGATTCCAGAGCGAACCCCACTTGGCTGGCATTTAACGTCATACGGAAGATCGAGTGCGTCGAGCAGCACCCGACCCTACACTCCAATCCAAAGTCTTCTATAGACGATGAATGCAAGAAAACGAGCAACATAAGAATAGTTCCCAAGAACGACTTTCTATTAACGTCGGCGCTGGATTATAAATTCATCGTTTTCTTTCTTAGCAATAGCGCGGTTGTTAAACAGCATACGTCTACTTCCATACAATAACACACATACAACACTACAGTAGCTGACGTTTCGGTACAATCTCTTTTTTCAAATCCTGGAAGGGTATATACTGATATACAATCTAGTTGGCCAAACGCTTCAGCAGCACAACAGGTGTTTAACAACCTCGCGACTGCTGAGGAAGAAAACGATGAATTCAAAATAAGAATGCTGCTAGGATCATCACAAAACGTCATATAAAACTGTATTAAAAAATGGGTAATGGAATATTAACTGACCATAAAGGTGGAGAGAACCAGAAGCATTGCCAGGGGCATTTAGTAAAGAGCACGGTATGCAGTAAATCTAAAACGTGACACATTAACCATTCACTACTTATTCTGGTTAGCATGAATTGGAAGCATACGAGGTATAGAGTGTTGCTCCAAACGCAGCAACTTTTTAGCGCTCTATTGGAATGCTAAGCAAAAAGTTTGGTGGCAACAGTTAGATTCTGCCACTAACGTGTTGATTCTTGATACTTACTTGATACTTGAACAGCCCGCCTTCACTGGCTATGCGGGCTCCAGTATAAGCACCATTTTTCAGAGATTTGCTGGTTAAACCATTGGTGTTCCCTGAAATCCCGAGGTCAGCTTGGACAAAGTCTGCCCCAGGTCTTCACCACCACAGGCAGTCGCACCCATTGTGAATCAGAGGAAGATTTGTCACCATGCGACTTCGATACCAAGACGGTGGTGGATCCTGATATTGGTTTGCTTTTACCCAGGCTTCCTGATGGAAACGCTGGGCTCTTTTTCAGCTTAGGAGACTCTGAGAGGGACGAATAGTTTCGCTGTCATAACAATCCGACACCCAGAAACACCCTTAACCAAGATAAGGCGGTAAACCGTTGGAAAGAGCCCTTGACAACCACTATTAAAAAGTTATAAAAAAGTCAGCACTTCCTAAATTACCGATGTTCTCACTATTTTCATAGTCTCTAGAGTTGGCTTAGAAAATGGCACAAAATCAGTTAGAAGATCTTGGTAGTAACATGTTGTGCCGTGCAGCCGAACCAACTCTTTTAAACCTCTGCAGCGTTACACTTTGTTATTCAAATTCGGCAACCCGAATATGGTAGGCAATATGTCGACGGCACATTATCAATAAATTTTAACTTTTGGTGTTATCGTACTAGTACTTATGGGATTTATTCCAATCATGACAGTCACCAGCAAGAGAAATTTACGATACACGCAAATCGCCAAATTGAGATGAATGTATTGGTACTTGCCTGCAATCTCTGTGTAATGGAATTTTGGAAAAAGTCATGACACCTTCTTGATCTATGAATGGAGAAGAATTGCGTTTTGCACTTTCCATGTAAATTTCAATAGTTCGCGAAGAACCACTGGTAGGTGATGACGTGGGATCCAAAAGATCAGAGCGAAAGAGGTTCATAATCCTATCCACTGCATTTCTGAAAGCGATTGCTTTGCGTTCTAGAAAGTTAGATTGCAGCCGCACACGTCTCGTTCCGCGATTCGGCAGGTTCTACTTGAGGATTTCAAATTGTCGGAATCTACTCCACTCGCCGAAAATTTAACGGCAACACGCTCGTGCTGAGAACAGAATACAATCAAAGCATTAACATTACACCACTTTACGTCTTGATATACACTTTAAATAAACAACAGCGCCTCTTTAACTATGAGGGTTGTGTGCCATTTATCGTCCATTTCACGAGAAATACTGTAACATGCATCAGTGAAACTTCATTCGTTGCTTCGGCATGGTGTGAATTCCCGGTGAGGTTTGCTCAGCACCAACTTATTTTTGTTGCATCCTTCATGGTGAGCGCAATAGGAATGTAAAATACAAGTACGTATGAGAGCGAAAAAAACAAGCACCTATAAGCACAGCGTGAGCGTCTAGTTAACATTTGAGAAAAATGTTGAGAAGGTTGAGATTATTGCGGCATTGTTTTAGCGTAGGTATTTTGCAAAGTTATCATGAGGTGTAACCGAAGCTATAAATAAAAAAGGATAAAACTCTCGACGTTGATCAATCCCCTAGGGATGCGCCATGCATTCGACTTCATTAAGCAACGTTTGGAGGTGATTGAATGCTTATCTGGCCTTTACAATAACTCGCGGAGGCCTACCGTTGCACACAGCCAGTGCTGCTGTCCTCACAGACAGGTCTGGTGCCAATTTGTCGGGCCCAGAGAGATGGAAGGTTTGGTGAGACACGGGCGCGGGGATCGATTCCACATGTGTTGCAGGACGTATCCGACCACTGTGTCACACGAGCCCATGCCGAAGCTATACCAAAATTTATTTCCACCTATAGTATATGGCCATGGAAAAGAGCGCATGTACTATAATAGTTTAATGTCGCATCAATGCCAACGAGCGTCTCTTCTCCTTTTCCTACTAGTTTTTTAGTTTTATATGAAATTGACAAGGACGGTATTTATTCCCAGACAGCTGTCATTAGAACGGATGACCTTTTTTATACATTATATTCAGAAATGGTGATCCTTATACAGTTTATATTTATGCCATTTACAAGTTTCTTTCAAACGTTCGTGACGTGACGTTGGACTTTTTGAACGGCTAAAACTCAACCGTGGAGTGAAAATGCGAATAAATGGAAATAACTATTTCATGGAAGCGTATTTGAATAAATTTGAATGTCCGCTGAATTATATCAGAATTCACAAGAATTATTTCAAATATGGACGAGAGGGATTCTCCAAATGTTCCGCTCGCACGATTGAAGGAATAAGTTGACATCGGTTTGAAGGTCCACTAAGCTAAGGTGCGTGTAATATTAGTCAGATCGATCAGGATCAATTCCAGTGAGATTTGAAGACTTTCGAGCCTTGTATATCAGCACTGAATTCTTTAGGTACATCGAACCGCGCTTTTAATCAAGTAACCACCTCATGATCAAATTTATAGAATATTTCAATCTCTAAATTAATGGTTAAATTACATTCGCGGTGGCTCCAAACAATAGAGAGATCTTCTTGAGTTGGAGCTGGCGAAATCCATCATTCACATCCAAAATACGCTTCATAAAGACCTAAAAAAGAAGAAATCAATTATATCGAAATGATTCCAAATCAGTCAAGTCATTCTACTAATCCAATGTTTTTCATCAATAAGCAGACACGAGGTTGTTAATATAGAATTTATTAGAACACAATTGCTGACGTTTCGG